CCACTGGCAGTTAAAAGGAAGAAACAGCTGCGATCACACACCACTCTTAGAAGCACGAAGCTGAAGACACCAGCCTGAAGATGACGAATGTGACTTCGTCGAAACGTCGCCAAGGTACTTTTAATTCTACGCGGGAGAAAACCCGAATAACTAAAGACCTACATACAAACACCCGCGAAAACCTCAGAAAACATATATAATGGAAAATTCAAGTATTACTAAAGAGAGAAATAAAGAAAAGAGTCATTTTATGTGCTTAGTACTATTTTTTTCTTTTAATGAGCTGTTCTCTATTGTTTAGCTCTGGCCTAACAATGATTATATAACATTTTGGGAAATATATGCAGCCAAGCAACCCAGCACTAGAGGCCAAAATGGAGAAAACCTCCACAGCCACCAAATATTTGCCTTTGGTGCTCAGGTAGGATGGAACAAAGGAGAGCCACACACTGCAGAAGATCAGCATGCTGAATGTGAGACATTTGGCCTCATTGAAACTGCTGGGGAGCTTCCTGGAGAAAAAAGCTACTGTGAAACTGGCAGTTGCCAGAAAGCCCATGTACCCCAGAACACAGTAGAACATGATAGCTGAGCCTTCATTGCACTGCAGTATGATTGCGTCAATTTCTGAATGGGTGTCAACATCAGGGAAAGGGGGAAATGTGATCAGCCACAATGTACAGATGCCTGCTTGAATCAGGGAACAAGAAAGAACAATGGAGGTGGCCAAGCCCCTTCCCACCCATTTCCTCATCCTGGATCCAGGCTTGGTGGCCATGAAAGCCAGAACCACAGTAATGGTTTTTGCCAGCACAGAAGACACAGCCACTGAGAAGATGATTCCAAAACTAATTTGTCGGAAGAGACATATTATATTGCCAGGTACAACAAGGAACTGCAATGAGCAAAGGAAGCAGAGGAGGAGGGAGATGAGTAGAACATAGGTGAGACTTCGGTTATTGGCCTTGACAATGGGAGTATGGTGATACTTCAAAAATGTTGCCAGCACCACCATTGTGCAGAAAGAAAAAAGGAGTGCCAGAAAGGTTAGACATATTCCCATTTGTTCTTCATAGGATAAGAAAGATATTTTCTTGGGAAGACATGAATCTTTGTTCTTGCTTGGATATTGGTCTTCTGAGCATTCAGAACAATCTTGCATGTCTGGAATTTAAACATACAATTTTTATGTGGTCATTATATTATTATTTTTATTCATTTGTTTATTCATTTTTTTTTCAAATAACGGAATAATAGAAAAAAGGAGCAAAACAGATAAAGAGATTCAGATAGAAATAGATATATAATCAACTACATGCATAACAATCTCCCTTTAAAAAGTGAATATAATGCAACAGAACAAACATGGTCAAGGTATTATTATGTACTTTGGGATCCTAAGCCTATCTTATTTTCTACTGTTGCAATTATGACTCAGTAAGGAGAAGTTAGAATAGTATTTCTTCTCTTAAAAGACCTTTTTCATGGTTATTACTGTGTTCTTATGTGTGTTCTCTTAACATATGCTTTTTTAATAATTGTTACTGTGTGCCTTGCATTTTGTCTACCTATTTAGTTCTATTGGTCTATTTTTATCTAGACCAGGGGTGTCAAACTCAATTTTATTGTGGGCCACATCACCATTATGGTTGCCCTCAAAGGGCCAGGTGGATGTGGCTGGGTAGGCATTCCTGGGTAGGAGGGTGTGGCTAGGAGGGTGTGGCTGAGTGGATGTGGTTGGGTGGGCATGATCACTCACACCAAGGGACTCCAAGCAAGGCTGGGATGGGGGATCTGGAGATCTTCAGTAGATGAAGGTGAGACCAAGGTGAGTGATAAAGCCTCATCTACCATAGGAGCCTTGCTGTCTCCTGGACATGAGACTAAAAGGGAGGTCAACTGCCCACCTGCTGGGTGGCAGACAAGACTTAGCCCATGGGATGAAAGCCAGGCAGATGGGAGTATGGAGTGGCATAGGCCAAGCATCAGTGGGGGCTGGCTCCAGGTTGTCCTCTCCACTATGTGACAGGGCCGGAGAGGGGAACACATCATTATATGGCACAAACTAAGCATTGGCAGGAGGGCACAAACTAAGCATTGGCAGGAGTTGGCTCCAGGTCCTCCTATCCGCTGTGTGACAGGACCAAAGAGGAGAATGCAGCACTCATGATGGATGGGGAGACAGGATCATGTGGCAGCATGAGACATCTATGGAGAAGGATGGCCTGAGCAGAGAGGAGGCTGGGTACAAACCTGTCCAGAGGAGAATCTGGGTGCCTGGTTAGTGCTGATGGCCCCTGGGCTGCCTAGAGCCTTGGGCAATATAGGCCAAGTGCCCAATCTGACCAAACTCCCAAGGCACTGGGACCCTGAAGCCCAGCCCAACCCCACTTCCCTGAGGGGGCACCCATCTGCACTTACCTCCTCCTCAACCTGCTGCTGATGATGGTGCCAGTGCCACTGTGGGATGAAGCAAAGTGAGACCATGTGAGGCAAGGCCAAGAGAGGCCAGGCAAGGAGAGGGAAGGCTGGGTGAGGCAGGGCATGGAGAGAAGAGATGAGGCAAGGTAAGGAGAGGCTGGACAAGGCAAGGCCGAGTGTGGCGAGGTGAGGCTGGGCAAGTTGAGGCCAGGTGTAGTGAGGTGAGGCCCAGCAAAGTGGGGCTGGGTGAGGAGAGGAGAGACCAGGCAAGGCAGGGCCAGGAGAGGAGAGGTGAGGCTGGGTGTGGGAGGTGAGGCCAGGTGAGGAGAGGCAAGGTTGGGTGAGGAGAGGCAAGGCCAGGCAAGGTAGGGCTGGGAGAGAAGAGGTGAGGCAAGACAGAAAAGTGGGGCCAAGCAAGGAGATGAGGATGCATCATCTAATTTGAGTATATAGTATTGTCATGGGGTTAATTTGTTTTATTTATTTATCTATTCTATTATCTATCTATCTATCTATCTATCTATCTATCTATCTATCTATCTATCTATCTATCTATCTATCTATCTATCTATCTATCATAAATTATAAACCACCCATCTCTCTCAAAGATATCAGAATAGTGTACAATAAAACATCAAAATATAAAACAGTATATACTGTAAAAATTAAAATGTTAAAATTAAAATTTTGAGTTATTTTTTTAAGGAGGTAAGAATACTTAACTTTAAAGATTGCTTGACCAAGCAAAGGGAGGGCTTTCACAGTACTAACCAAACTTGTGTCTGTGTGTTCCTTTAGGCGCCACATGCAAGCCCACAGAGCCATGTTTTAACTCTTTTTTGAAAGGCCAGGAGAATGGGATTCTGTCGCAGGTCCTCACCGCCCCACTCGCATGAACGCTCACAGCCCTACTGATGTGAACAATGGGTGTTTGTACATGTGCATGCGCACCCACCTGCCTTTAACTCGTCCACAAAATCATCCCTTCTTTCCCCTCTCCCCCTGCTCTGGGTTGCCAACCACAAAAGTTTGGGAAACTCTGGTATAGAGGGGCCCACCCATAGCTATTCCATCTTACCATGGTTTAGTCAAAGTTTGTTGTTCTCCAAAAGCCTCCAGGTACCACAAAAGAACATCTACTGTATCACTCACTTCACCCAGGACATACATACCTACATGTAAATGTTCAAAAGGAGTGGAGTGAGCCCTGAGCCCTGTGGCAGTCCATAAAGAAAGTGCTGTAAGCTGAACCTCTTGCTCCCTATTATCACTGATTTGGCCCAGCCTTGGACAAAAGAGATGAACAGGCACAACACTGTATCACTCACCTCCAACTCCATAAGCAGTCCAAAAAGATACCATGATCAATAGTATTGAAAACTGTCAAGAGATCAAGAAGAGCAAGGATGGATATGTTGCCTTCATTCTACTCCTACCAGAGATCATCCATTAGTGTGATCACTGCAGTTTTAGTACCATATCCAGGGAAAACCTGACTGAAAAGGGTTCAGATAATTCATTTCTTCCAGGATCTTCTGGAGTTGCAGCACCACCATCTTCTCAACCATCTTTCCCAAGAGGGGGAGGTGAAAGTTTGGACGAAAATTGTCCAGAATGGTAAGGCCCAGTGATATTTAGTATACTTTGAGTCACAAAGCATTATCTTGTATAAGACAGGTGTACAAATAACTTTCTAAAAAAAACCCACCGTAAAATAAAATAAAGAGATCATAGGATAAAATCAAATGAGAGTTCATATTCAAAAGAGCTTATAATGGATAATTTAATACAAAGTTAAAGAAAAGAGAGAAAAGAAACCAAAATCATTAGTGATGTTTTGATCAATCTCTTGATTGCTTGAATTATTTTTTAAACCAGCTAAAGATTGTTTTATAGAAAGAGTTATACTAAAGTCTAAATAGATCAATAAACAAATATTTCCTACTGTGCTATCCAGGCTAAATAGTGGATAGTGCTGTGCTATCCAGGCTAAATTCTGGTGTAAATTTACAATCTTAAGATGAATTATGCTCATTTCACTTCTTACCCTTCTGACTTGAAATTTTCTCTTCAGGACATGGAAAACAATCATAGCAGCAAAATGGCTTCCACTCTTGCTTTTGTTTGAAATAACCTGGAAAACAGCTCTCAGTACATACCGAAACAGGTAGGATCTGCCCAATAAAGAAAGTAAGAAGGAAAATATTAGCATTCAATTTGAAAAAAGAGATGAAAAATCATGATTTGATTGATTTTTAGCAAAATCAAGAATACAAATTGTAATTATTTTTTTTGTCATCCATATTATCATCAAAGCGAATCAAGAATGAATATGTTTCCTGTTCTAGTAATATTATAACTATAGGCATAAATACAAATATAAATGCAATCTTTTTTTCTAAATATAGAAATATTTTGGGTTCAAAAATTAAATCAGTGGCACTCATCAAAACCTAAGTGTTTTTTTTTAGTCACTTAACTTATTTTATAAAACAAAATGTAATGCAATGGACTGGATTATAATAAAAACTTTTTTAAAGAGGCAAGTACATAGGAGAAGATAATAGAGTTAAAAGAGGGATTATTGAAAAGATATCACATACTTTGAAATGTAGTGCAGTGGAAGCCTTTTTCATTAGTGCAACTTCAAAAACAAAGCATCACAACCAAATATGTGGAACAGTGTCTCTGGTCTCAAACAGAATTTTCCATATTACTCTTTCTTTTTCCCCTACCCTGAGCTTTCAACTAATGGCAAATCCAAAACTTGAATGGTTACTTTTCCATGAGAAACATCTATCCTCTTGTCCATCCAGGTCATGACTGTCCTCTCCGGCCAGGTTAAACATAGAATTGTTACAGGACATTATTATTCATGTAGAGATTATTATTGCAGGACAATCTGGCCATCATGAACAACAGTCAAAAAGTGAAGCTTCTGAAAAGCTTTTCTCAGGATATTATGATGCTTCAATCCAACTTTAGTTAGAAGTCAAATAGAAGAAAGAGAGAACCAATACTAGAGACAATCTTATGGGAGCAGCAATTGGGTTCATCTCTCCTGCTGACAGACATATAATGGATCTATCGACTCAGGAAGCAATGTACCAAACCTACATGAACAAGCCAGGAGCATACGTCTGTTATATGCACCTTCTTAATTATGGAATAAATAATCACATTTTATTCGGTTTATTAGCAATTGTTTTAATGTGGCTTACTTAAAAATCTTAATTTATAGTTTTCTATTATGTCTAATAACATTGATCATTATCAGAATACAAAACTAAAATACAGTATCTACCAATGATCTTACATTACAAGAGGCTTCATCAAGCATGCTCAACACTGAATCTGGACCAACTCATTTTGGCAGACCATCAGCTCTTTTTCAAATTCTTATTATATTTTGTTCTTCTAAACTTTTAATTGTTGTTCAGATAAATCATCAACAACTATTTCCTGTTAAACTTTATCTTAAATATCAATATACTTTATTCCTAAAATATCTCTCTCTGAACATTATTTCAAATAACCCTAACCCTAACTCTAACTAAAAACTAAAAACTGTGTTTGTTAAAAAAAGTCTATAACATTATTTTAATGAAATATTTTCATTAGTTTAATGAAAAGAAGGACTAGTTTAGTTTAATGAAAAGAAGGACTAGGGTGACATGATAGCAGTGCTCCAATGTCTCAGGGGTTGCCATAAAGAAGAGGAAGTCAAGCTATTCTCCAAAGCAGCTGAGGGCAGGACAAGAAGCAATGGATGAAAACTAATCAAAGAAAGAAGCAACCTAGAATTGAGGAGAAATTTCTTGACAGTGAGAACAATTAATCAGCGGAACAACCCACATCCAGAAGTTGTGAATGCTCCAACACTGGGAGTTTTAAAGAAGAGATTGGACAACCATTTGTCTGAAATGGTATAGGGATTCCTACCTGAGCAGAAGGTTGGACTAGAACATCTCCAAGGTCCCTTCCAACTCTCTTTTCTATTCTATTCTATTCTATTCTATTCTATTCTATTCTATTCATTTCCATGTTAATTTTTTTATTATTATTATTGTCACACTCATGCAAGCAAAAGATTCAGAATCTACTTGGTTGAAAGTGTTTTCTGTGTTCATTGGCATTGAATTGTTTTTGGACATCATTAATTAAGAACTTACTTGGTTGAAACTGCTGTGCCAAGTAATGGCTTCATCACGAATGGTGAATTTTTCCTCTTCAACCCAGGGATCCAGCTTCCCCACTTTTACTCGATTGAAAGATTGATTTGGGAATGTGACCCAGTTTATAATATCAAATCCAACTATCAATTCCCTCCTCTGATTGAACAGAATCCTATCCCCAGCACTGTTATTAAATGAGACTCTCTTCAGGAATTGGTGGAGCTTAATATCAATGAAGATCCAAAAATTGGTAAGGAAACAGAATTAGTAATGAATATATTTTTTTTCATATCAACTGCAGATGTTGTACTTCAGCATTTGATGCATCCGTTTAGTCCAATTATAGTATATCTAAAATACTCACTGACAAAGCTCCATACTCCTTATTTCCCCATAAAAGCAACACTTTTTTCTGTGTCATTTCAGTTTAAAATGATAATAATGTTGATATAGTCATAATGTTCTATTGCTAAAAAAATTCTACCAGCTATAAAATCCCAAGTATAAAATCAATTCAGTTGAGCAGCTGTAAGAAGCATTAGAATGTAATTTCCTGCCTATGTGGGGGAGACATTATTTGAAAACTGAAGAAAAAGCAACCAAATTGGCCTAGAGTACTGTATATAGAATTGTACTTGCTTTCTAAAAAATATTAGGTTGCTAACAGGTCAGTTTTATTTTAATTTAATTTAATCATGGCATCCAAAGTTCCAATGAATCTCTCCACTAAGCCATTATTCGATAATTATAGTGGAGAACTGAAGTGAGATTTTTTATTTATTTGTAATCTGCTTTTATTATTTAAAAAAATAACGTAAGGCAGCAAACCTATCCATCATACTTTTCTCCTCCTATTTTTCCCAAAACAACAAACCTGAAAGGTATGTTAGGTTGAGAGAAAGAGTGATTGTCCCAGATTCATCCTGCTCACTAAGGTGGGACTTGATCTCATAGTCTCACATTTTCTAAACTAGTGCCTTAACAACTAGAATCAGGGATGTCAAACTAATGGCCCATGGGCTGGATGAGTCATGTACAGGCCACACCCACCCCAGCTCTGCAAAGGCAAAAAAGTTGTGATGTGTGACACGTATGTGATGTCATCAAGTCTGACACCCATGCACTAGATCAAACTAGCTCCCATTCATAATCCATATTATGAATAGCCATAGTTTCCAATGACTCATGACAAGACAGGAGTAGTTGAATCCATCAAGATTGAAATCAGTAAATTTCTCCACACAATAAGATTGTTAATATTCTGATTTTCCTGCATTTAACCTCTATAGTTTATAGCTTACTTCTTCTGGAAGTATACACTTCTATTGACAAGGTGTATTGGGCTGTATAAACCCAAACTGTCTACTTCTACTCTCTGGACTGAATATCCTGTTTTGAAGGCAATCAGTATAAAATATATCTTCTAATTGTTCTAGTTGTTTATACCCCATGGAGAGCATTGCAGGATTTTCCATATAAAGGTCACTTCTTTTCCATATCAACCCAATAAAACAAATTACCTTCCTTTTGATATGATCATGTATCAAAATTATATGTATAAAATTTTGTAGGAATACAATGCTGCATTTTTAACTGACTAAGAAGCCTAATTATTTGTAAAGAATATTGGTTAGATTGTAAAATGAAAACAAAGTAGTAATCTGAAAATCAACATAACAATGCATGAAGCAGTACATGAACCTGAGTGGAAGCTACTGTATGTTAGTTTGAAGGATAGAAAGCTATGAAATGATGTAGTTGGTGTAAACCAGATTTACCTATATCCCTCCTTTGTATTATATCTCATCCCTTCAATACTTTGGCTCACTATGATTTATAACAAAAAAGAGTACCTTGTGTATGTATGAAGGTGTGTGTATATATAGAGAAAAAAAGCAGAACACAAAGACTTACCTGCCATGGCTGTTGCTTTTGAATATTCTGTTTCCTTCCATTCAGCATTCCATTGGATTTTTGTTCAATCTGCATATCATGTAAAGCTTGAGCTACAATATAAACTGCATTATATATATTGTAACTATGACCAGTCATGCTCATTTCAAAAAGAGCCCCAGGAAGGTCCTCCAATTTCTCCTTCAGAGTACAAATGTTACTATCTTTCTCATTCATTGAGGGACTGGGAAAGGAACAGTAAAATGCATGTACCCACACATCTTTGATAAAGCCATCTTCTTTTGATAAGAAAGGGTCTCTTCCCTGAACAAATTTCTGAAATCCTGGAATTTCATTGGAGTAAACTGAAAAGGAAAGGGCACCAAAGATATCTTGAATATCCCAGGTCCTTTGGTAAATCACTGTTGCAAGATCCATTTGGGAGGGAATGACCCATACTTTACCTTTCGGTTCCATAGACAGTGATTCAATTTTAGGAAGATTTAGCAACAATCTCAGATGCAGAAGGGTTGTTTCATAGACTATTACTGCATTGGCTTTACTTTTCATAGTGAGATAAAATGTATCCACTAGCCACTCCAGGTCCATGAATATGTTTTTCATGTGTAATTGTTTAATTATTTTTAGAAAGGCAATGCAAATACCATGAAGAGGAAATGATGAAAGGATCATCCTCACAAATCTTTCATCATCATCATCCCTCACAAAGATCCCAACCCAGATCCATTTGAAATGCACAAGCAGCTGAAGAAGTCCTTCATATACCATACTTTCATGTGGGACCATATGGTAGAAGGAAAAAGATTTGCTTTGATCCGGCACCTCTGGGTGGGATCCATATATAAACTACATGAATAAGAAAACCAATAGGAACTTAGTGAAAGCAAAGAAATGAAGAAATGCTTAATAAAATGGCAATTATACCAAAGCTACTCTAATTTGGGAATTCATTTCAAAGCATCTAGCAAATTTTAGTATCTGTCAGAATTTATTTTACCAGCCTTATAAGAATAAATCTATAATCTTTGTATGATAGATTTGTTGTACTCCCATTTTGTGTTATTGATGATACTATTTTTTTAGAGACATGCTTGAATTTCAGATTGGTTCACTGGGGTTCTCAGAATAATGGTTTTCCATGAAGTTTTTGAAATACAGTCTTGATTGATTGATTGATGGATGGATGGATTGATTGATTGATCAATCAATCAATTGATAAATTAAAGATTAGCTTGCTTTCAATTGAAAATCATCTTCAATAGCAACTCTCAGTAATGTCACTTGCAGGAAAGAAAGTGAGAAGCTTCTCATGGTAAAGCTCCTAAATCAGAAGATAATTTCCTAGTTCTCTTTGCCTAAAAGTCATATTTCTTTCAAGATGATTTATAAGCTCTCGGTCACCTCACTTGGAGGAAAAAGGAGTGAAAAGCCTCCTACAATAAAGCTTAAAGAGTCCCGAAAAATACTTTCTAGCTCTCCTTGGATGACGATCATATTTCTTTCAATGTGATTTATAATCTCCTGTTCATTCAATGCACAGTAAATGTTTCAGTTGAAAATAATTTGGGATGTCAATAAAGTCCCTTGCCAATAAGCAACTGTCCTTTTTTCTATTTTCACTACAATAGTCTTCTAAATTTCATGTTCCTTTCGTAAGATCCTTATAACCAGCCTATTATTTTTTATTAATTATTCATTATCTGCATTGTCTCAAGTTCTAATAAATTGGCTTTTTAGATGGTTTATTAATTAATGTAAACTAAGTACATGTGAAGCACACACTAGTATGTTTCCAACTTACACAAATGTAAAAAATTCATTAAAATCCTGATGACATCATAAGGTCTCACAACTCACCACACAACTTACTTGTGGAAGTTTGTAGATCCTCAAGATATCTGCCATGTCAATGGAGATTTCAGGATAAATAGCACCAATGACTGAGACCAAGTTGTTCTGGATGCCACACTTATAATTGGGGATCATTCTCTTCAGAGGTGAAAATAGTTCCATTGTGGCATGATAAATCCATTTTCTACCATAGCTGTCAAAAATATTGATGCCCAAAGTAACATTGGGCAAAATCTGAGGGTTTTCATTGATCTCTTTTACAGCAAATATCAAAGCCAAAATATGCTGATAAAATTTAGTCTGGACTCTGCAATAATGATTGTAGGTGATAAAAGAAACATATACCTAGCAGAAAACATTGCAACAAATATGTGGTCTATCCAATTTTTATGTTTTTGAAATCAATAATCCCTGTATCATGCATTGTACAGTATAACAAGTGTGCATTTGGTTTAGCTCTGTATAGTTTTGAAGAAAATATACAAACATCTCAGTATCTTAAATACTCTTTAATTTTAACAAATATTTGAAAGTTTTTCTAATCTGAAAAAATCAGTAAAATGTTACAGAACAGTATTTTATTTCTAGGCACACCTAGTTGCAAGAATAGATTTCTGAATTTATTCAGAAAGAAATCAAATCAATAAACTAAAGAAGGAACTAAAAAGAAAATCATAATTACAATTATGTAAATGACCTAAAACCTCAGTGTATCCAGAAAATATTCCTATACAAATATGGATTATTTTGAGATCCTCTTTATTTTTTATCTTGCTGAAAGTTGGTTCAATGAATAGCAGGATTTCTGTGGTACATTGTCAGGATCTTCTAATCTTTAGTTAGCAAAACTAAGTAGTTCCTTCATTTAAAAAAAAAACAAACAAGGAAATTAATCAGGACTAAAACATTTGAACTAGATAATGTGTGTGTGTGTGTGTGTGTGTGTGTGTGTGTGTGTAGGATTATCACAAATACAAATATAATCTAACAACTCTTACACCACACAGTTGGGTGGGAAAAACTTACATGACTTCATCAAAAAATGAAAGATAGGGATCTTCCATGAAGTTTTCAAGTTCTATAGGAATGAACATAAGAGAAGTAATGCCACCAATGATGAGATCACCAGATTGGAAATAGTTGTGAGAAATAGGACGGGGATCACCAATAATGCAGTTTCTCATGTCACTTTTCGAAACCATAAGAGATAAAAGCAAGAGGAAAATTATCATGGTCATTGTGCCAAATGTACATCTAGAACAGAGCTTGTCTAATAATGGTTAAGAGCTTCCAAAAATAGACTAGTGTCATTGCCTTACAACCCTACCATCACACTATTCACAATTGTTGTGAAACCTTGAATTCACCTTATCAGGAATTATCTTGACAGGACTTCATCTGTGTTTAGACTAAAGCTACAGATCAGCACAGCCAGGAAATACTGGTAGCATTCCTAAGGTCTGAGTCCTTGTTGGTTATAGGTTTGCCATAAGGACTTCAGCAATAGGCAGAAATAATAATGGTATTTTTGATAATTACAGATTGTGGAAAGACCTGTTGTTAGGTTTCCATTTCTCTGTGATATGCGAAGAATCTATTTTCTCACTTACAGATACACATGTTTTCTAGCAATTAAAAAATCAACAAAGGGAGCGTCACTTTTGAATGAGCCAATGTTATAGAAACTGAATCCTATATTCAGCACTGTTATTAGAATAGAATGGAATAGAGCTGGAAGGGACCTTAGAAGTCTTCTAGTCCAGCCCCCTGCTTAAGCAGAAGAACCTATATCATCTCAGACAAGTGACTGTTCAGTCTCTTCTTAAAAACTTCCAGTGATGGAGCACCCACAATTTCTGAGGGCAAGCTGTTCCACTGGTTAATTGTCCTCCCTGTTACGAACTTTCTCCTTAATTCCAGGTTGCTTCTCTCTTTGATCAGTTTCCAACCATTGTTTCTTGTCCTGCCCTCTGGTGCTTTGGAGAATAATTTGACCCTCTTCTTTGGGGCAGCCTCTCAAATATTGGAATACTACTATCAAGTAACCCCTATTTCTTCTTTTCTTTAGACTACCCAAACCCAAGTCCTGCAGCTGTTCTTCATATGTTTTAGTCTCCAGGCCTTGGACCATCTTAATTGCTCTTCTCTGAACTTTTTCCATCTCAACATCTTTTTTTTAGTATGGTGACCAACATTAATTTCAGTATTCCAGGTGTGGTCTCACTAAGGCAGGGGTGTCAAACTGCCAGCCCGCAAGCCAGAAGCATCACTCGGAAGCCGTGCCCACTCCATTGCTGGCAATGGCAAAACAGTCCCAATATGTCGCACGACGTCACATGAGGTCACAAGTTTGACATATCTGCACTAGGGTTTTATAATGTAGTACTAATATTTCGCTTGATCTTGATTCTATGCCTCTGTTTATACAACCCAGGATTGTATTAGCTTTTTTGGCTGCTGCTGCACATTGCTGGCTCATAGTCAAGTGATCGTCCACTAGGACTCCAAGGTCCCTCTCACAGTTACTGTTTTTGAGCCAGGTCTCACGTAATCTGTACTTATATCTTTGATTTTTTCCTACCTAAATGTAAAACTTTGCTTTTCTCCACATTAAAACTCATTTTGTTGGATAGGGCCCATTGTTCCAGTTTGTCAAGATCTTTTTGAATCCTGAGCTTGTCTTCTGGGGTGTTGGCTATTCCTGCCAGTTTAGTATCATCTGCAAATTTGATGAGTTCCCCTTCTATTCCCTCATTTAAGTCATTGATGAAGATATTGAAGAGACCCTTTTCAGAAACTGGTGGAGCTGAATATCAATGTGAACAGGAAGAAAAGAATCAGTAATTAATACACAATTTTAATCAACTGCTGCAACAACTTTTATTTTGTTGTTGTTAGTTGCAAAGTCATGTCTGATCCATCATGACCCCATGGACAACATTCTTCCAGGTCTTCCTGTCCTCTACCATCTTCTGGAGTCCATTTAAGCTCACGCCTATACTGCTTCAGTGACTCCATCCAGCCACCTCATTCTCTGTTGTTCCCTTCTTCTATTGCCCTCAATCTTTCCCAGCATCAGGCTCTTTTCCAGTGAGGCCTTCCTTCTCATTAGGTGGCCAAAGTATTTGAGTTTCAACTTCAGGATCTGGCCTTCTAAAGAGCAGTCAGGGTTGATCTCTTCTAGAACTGACCGGTTTGAATGCCTTGCAGTCCAAGGGATTTGCAGGAGTCTTCTCCAGCACCATAGTTCAAAGGCCTCAATTCTTTGGCACTCAGCATTTCTTATGGTCCAACTTTCACAGCCATACATTGCAACTGGGAAAACCATGGCCTTGACCATATGCACTTTTGTTGGCAGGGTGATGTCTCTGCTTTTTAGTATGCTGTCTAGATTTGCCATAGCTTTCCTCCCAAGGAACAAGCGTCTTTTAATTTCTTGGCTGCAGTCCCCATCTGCAGTGATCTTGGAGCCCAGGAAAATAAAATCTGTCACTACCTCCATTTCTTTCCCATCTATTTGCCAGGAATTGAGAGGGCCAGATGCCATGATCTTGGTTTTCTTAATGTTGAGTTTCAAGCCAACTTTTACACTCTCCTTCTTCATCCGCATCAAGAGGCTCTTTAGTTCCTCTTCACTTTCTGCCATCAGCGTGGTATCATCTGCATATCTTAGGTTGTTGATATTTCTCCCGGCAATCTTAATTCCAACTTTTGATTCATCTAGCCCTGCCTTTCTCATGATGTGCTCTGCATATAAGTTAAATAGGCAGGGCGACAGTATACAGCCTTGCCAGACTCCTTTCCCAATTTTGAACCATCAGTGGTTCCGTGTCCAGTTCTCACTGTTGCTTCTTGACCTCCACATAGGTTTCTCAAGAGACAAATAAGATGGTCTAGTACTTCCATCTCTTTAAGAACTTGCCACAATTTGTTGTGATCCACACAATCAAAGGCTTTAACATAATCAATGAAGCAGAAGTAGATGTTTTTCTTGAACTTCCTAGCTTTCTCCATGATCAAGCGTAGGTTGGCAATTTGATCTCTAGTTCCTCTGCCTCTTCAAAATCCTGCCTGTACTTCTGGAAGTTCTCGATCCACATACTGCTGGAGTCTAGCTTGTAGGATTTTAAGCATAACTTTACTAGCATGTGAAATGAGTGAATGATGCAATAATTTGAACATTCATTGGCATTGCCTTTCTTTGGAATTGGAATGTAAACTGAACTTTTCCAATCCTAGGGCCACTGTTGAGTTTTCCAAATTTGCTGGCAAATTGAGTGTAGCACTTTTACTGCATCATCTTTTAAGATTTTGAATAGCTCATCTGGAATAGTATCACCTCCACTAGCTTTGTTATTGCTCAGATTTCCTAAGGCCCACTTCACATTCTAGGATGTCTGGTTCGAGGTCAGTGACCACCTCATTGTGGTTATCTGGGACATTAAGCTCGTTCTTGTAAAGTTCTTCTGTGTAGTTTTGCCACCTCTTCTTAATCTCTTCTGCTTCTGTTAGGTCCCTGCCACTTTGGTCCTTTATCATGCCCATCTTTGCATGAAACGTTCCCTTCATATCTCCAATTTTCTTGAAGAAATCTCTGGTCCTCCCTATTCTATTGTTTTCTTCTATTTCTTTGCACTGTTCATTCAAGAAGGCATTCTTATCTCTTCTAGCTATTCTCTGGAATTCTGCATTCAATTGGGTATCTTTCTCTTTCTCCCTTGCCTTTTGCTTCCCTTCTTTCCTCAGCTAGTTGCAAGGAAAATAGTTTTAGTTGCTACCTCTTGTACAATGTTGTGAACCTCTGTCCATAGCTCTTTAGGCACTCTGTCTATCAGATCTAATTCCTTAAATCTATTTGTCATCTCTGCTGTATATTCATCAGAGATATGATTTAGTTCATACCTGAGTGGCCTAGTGCTTTTCCCTACTTTCTTCAATTTTTTAATCCTTCTTGACCCATTTATAAAAGCACCTATAGTCAAGTGATATTATCACATTACTTCCCATGCCTAAATTTTGCAACAAGAAGCTCATGATCTGAGCCACAGTCAGCTCCTGGTCTTGTTTTTACTGACTCTATAGAGCTTCTCCATCTTTGGCTGCAGAGCACATAGTCAGTCTGATTTCTGTGTTGACTGTCTGGTGATGTCCATGTGTAGAGCCATCTCTTGGGTTGTTGGAAAAGAGTGTTTGTTATGATCATCATATTATCTTGACAAAATTCTATCAGCTTGTGCCCTGCTCCAAGGCCAAACTTGCCTGTTATCTTTTGGCTTCCTACTTTAGCATTCCAATCCCCCATGATGATAAGGATATCATTTTTTGGTGTTAATTCTATAAGGTGCTGTAGGGCTTCACAGAACCAGTCAATTTCATCCTCTTCAGCACCAGTGGTTGGGGCATAGACCTTGACCACTGTGATATTGAATGGTTTGCCTTGGATTTGAACTGAGATCATTCTGTCATTTTGGGGATTGTATCCCAGTATTGCTTTTCCTACTCTTTCATTGACTATGAAGGATACTCCATTTCTACTGAGGGATTCTTGCCCGCAGTCATCTGAGTTAAATTCACCCATTCCTATTCATTTTAGTTCACTGATTCCTAAGATGTCGATGTTCAGTCTTGTCATCTCTTGTTTGACCACATACAGCTTGCCTTGATTCATGGATCTTACATTCCAGGTTCCTATGGAGAAAAGATCTTTACAGCATTGGACTTTCCTTTCACCACCAGATGCATCCACAGCTGAGCATCCTTTTGGCTTTGGCCCAGTCACTTCACTCTTTCTGGCACTACTAGTACTAGCCCTCTGCTCTTCCCCAGTAGCATATTGGACACTTTCCGACCTGAGGGGCTCATCTTCCAGCGTCATATCTTTTTGCCTTTATGTACTGTCCATGGGGTTTTCATGGCAAAGATACTGGAGTGCTTTGCCATTTCCTTCTCCAATGGATTACGTTTTGTCAGATCTCTTTGCTATGACCTGTCCATGTTGGGTGGCCCTGCATGGCATAGCTCATAGCTTCATTGAATTACGCAAGCCCCTTCGCCACTACAAGGCAGTAATCCATGAAGGAGAACTTTTATTTATTTATGTAAGTATTTATTTATTATTTTTTATATTTCGTATTTATAAACAGCAAACTCCCTCAAAAAAGGGCTATAAGAGATATATAATATAATATAATTGATAAATAAAACAAAGTGTGAAATTAGCATAAAAATTAAAATTAAG